GGGGGGGGGGTTGGGGGGTGGTCCTCGACTTACGGCCGTTCGTTTCACGGCCACTCGAAGTGACAGCAAGGCCGATGTCTAGACTGTGGGATTTCACGCAGGTGGCCGCAGCCGCACGGTCAAAATTTAGACGCTTGGCCACAGAAGGAGGGGTCACGTGACCCCCCCCTCTGGCGACCTCCCGACCATAGAGGTCAACTCACAAAATATTTCTCCGGTCTTTTTTAGAGTTGCCAACGGAAAGGGAGCCGTGCGGCGGCTTGGAAACCCAAACTGCATTCCATAAATGTTTGGAAAGAGAAGTTAACTAGGTGACCGAAGTTTCTGCCGTGCGAAAATCCCAACGGGAGAACCCGACGGATGACTCTGGGCTATGGAGGTGTCCCATTGGAGGATATGAATTATGATAAGGGGGGGGGAGGGGAAAACCAGGGTCAAGGGTGACAGTGAATGACGTGTCTCAGAGTCGGCTACACCCAGGCAGTGCCGGGCATGTTAACTGCCAATAAATCTTCTTTTTCTTTTTTTTTTAAACAAACTTTATTCAGTTTTTCACATTAAAAACAAAAATCTCTTTTTAGTGGACCACGTATTTCCGGGTCATCATCTTTACATACAAATATGACAGCAATTATACATTAATATATGCATACTTCGTTCTATTAAGTTAAAATTCTATTCTGATGTGTTTGTTTCTCTCCTTACTAAAAATTTGGAATGGAAAAGGCAATAATAGAGCCAATTAATCATCTTTAAGCTGTCTGAAAGAACCGGCTAAAGACTCATGATTTAAACGGGGGTGAATGCTGGATCCCTGACGGACAGCGAGTCAACTCTGAGACACATAACCCACTTAAAGACCGTGTGGCTAACTTGACAGCTGCAGGGATTCCCTTAACAACGAGGACAAGAAAACGGTCGTAACACAGGGCAAAGCTCACTTTTAACAACTGTCTCGCTTAGCAACGGACGCTTGGGGGGGGGCTCCACGGCGGTCGTAATTCGAGGACCACCGGCCCTACGTCCTCTGCAAACCCACCTTCTCGGAGTACATGGATGGAGAGCTGAGAGGGTTGATGACCACCAGGTTGGGGCCGGCGTAGGTGTGGATGAGGTTCCCGCCGTAGCGCTGGCGGAGGGTGTGAAGGACGCTGGACTCGTTGAGGTAGACCAGACTGGCCAGATCCTCCAAGCGGTCGCAGGACGGAGGGTTGGCCTGAATCGAACAGAGATTTGAAGGAGGGATTTAAAAAAAACAGAGGTTAGTCAAAGATACTGGACTAAAATCCACACGTGGTTCGAAAAAAACGACAAAGAAACACCCAGACTTGAAACCGGAGATATTTTTTATTGGGAATTTTACCTGAAATATACAGTAGGGAATTGAAATATTGGATTGTAAATGTGTTAAGGGCGGCTGGGATTGTATTTTGCTAACAATGGGAAAAAATCAGAAAATACCAACGCAGGAGGAAGTTATTAAGAAAATATTGGAATGTGCTGAAATGAGTAAATTGACATTTGAAATCAGAGAACAAGAAGACAAAACAATTTTATAAGATTTGGGAAAAAGTGCAGAGAAGAGCAACCGGGAGGATGAGGGGACTGGAGGCTGAAACATACGACGGACGGTTACAGGGACTGGGTTGGGTTGGCTAGTTTGTCTGTCTGTCTGTCTGTCTGTCTCTCTTTCTCTCTCCCTCTCTTTCTCTCTCATCTGTCTGTTTCTCTCATCTGTCTGTCTCTCTCTGTCCGTCTCTGTCTCTCTTTTCACTCTCTCTTTCTATATCTCTCTCTCATCTCTGTCTGTCTACCTATCTATCTAGGTAGGACCTACCTACCTACCTATCCTTAGTAAGGCCACACCTAGCGTCCTGCATCCAGTTTTCTTCACCACATTATAAAAAAGACATTGAGACTCTAGAAAAAGTGCAGAGAAGAGCAACCAGGAGGATGAGGAGACTGGAGGATAAAACCTGTGATGAACGGTTGCAGGAACTGGGCCTGGCTAGTCTGTCTCTATCTATATCTATCCATCCATCAATCTATCTATCCTTAGTAAGGCCACACCCAGAGTCCTGCATCTAGTTTTGGTCACCACACTATAAAAACAGATGTTGAGGCTCTAGAAAAAGTGCAGAGAAGAGCAAACAGGAGGATGAGGGGACTGGAGGCTCAAACATACGATGGACGGTTGCAGGAATTGGGCCTGGCTAGTCTTGTCTGTCTATCTGTCTTGTCTGTCTGTCTCTATCTATCTCTATCTACCTACCTACCTACCTATCCTTAGTAAGGTCACACCTAGAGTGCTGCATCCAGTTTTGGTCACTATAAACAAGATGTTGAGACTCTAGAAAAAGTGCAGAGAAGAGCAACTAAGATGATTAAAGGCCTGGAGACTAAAACATACGATGGACAGTTGCAGGAACTGGGCCTGGCTAGTCCAGGGAAGAGAAGGACCAGGGGAGACAGGAGAGCATCTTCCAATATTTGAGGGGCTGCCCCAGAGAGGAGGAGGAGGGGGTCAAGCTATTCTCCAAGGCACCTGAAGGCCAGACCAGGAATAATGGATGGAAACTGATCCAGGAGAGATTCAACCTGGAAATAAGGAGGAATTTTCTGACAGGGAGAACAACCAACCCACGGAACAGAGGTTGCCATCGGAAGTGGCGAGAACCCTGTTCATCCTTGGAGGCTTTCAAGAAGAGACTGGACAGTCATCTGTCAGGGAACGGAGTGGCATCTCCTGCTTGGGCAGCGGGTTGGACTAGATGACCTCGGTCCTACCTTTTCGATATCATCTTCGTCCACTTCCAGAACGGTCCCATCGTAGTCCAGTTTCACTTTGACTTTTCCCTCCGGTAAGAGGCTGGCAGCGTCGCTCTTCAGCTGGCTCGCTGGGGAGGCCACAGGGAGGAGAGAAAGGGGCCGTGAAGCCCACCAGAGACCAGCCAGGCAGACCCACCCACCCACCTCTGGCTCACCCACGGGGCCCCTGCTGGCCCCAACCGCACACAGACCCCTCCCCAAAACTAGCCCCCCATGCTAAAGAAACAGCCAAAGAAAAGCCAAGTCTTGTCGTTCTTATTATTGAAACGCTTGTAAAAGTTTGCCTTTAAAAGTTGCTTTGCTTTTGTTGGAAAATGTGCGATATTTTAATAAAATTCCTGTTTTAAGGGGAAAAAAAAAAGATTTGGGCCTTTGCCGGACACCGAGCCACCCCAGGTGAGATTCTCAAGTCCTGCGGTTGTCCGAAAGGTGCCTTTTATTTTTTTTTCAGGAAGTAACTGGACCTTCTTGTTTTTTTTCTTCTGGAGATGTTTTGCTTCTCATCCCAGAAGCTTCTTCAACTCTGACCAAATGGTGGGGAAGGGAAGGATTGACGCTCCTTCCGGGCAGCTGGTCATTTGCATCCTTTAAGAGGGTCCTTGAGGCCACTTGGAGGTTTGTCTGTGTCCTCGGGGGTCACCTGAGCGGTGCAAATGGGTGTGGGGCCTTCTTGGAACTGCTGAAAGGACCCTGTTGTAGACTGGATGTAGATGATGTCCTATCCCTCCCCCTCTGTGGAGGGAGGGCTGTCCGGTTTGGAGATAGATGACCTCTTGGACCCCCACTTTCAAACCAGCGGTCCTCTCTGTCCAAAAGGTGGCCTTTGCTGTCTTCCAAAGAGTGGACGCTGTCTTATAAAAGGCAGGTGGAAGTGCTGAATCTGGTCACATTCAGAGGAACGCAAATGACCCGCTGTCTTCAAGGAGTAGATAAATCCTTCCCTTTCCCCGCCGTCCAGTCAGAGCAGAAGAAGCTTCCTGAATGATCAGTGAAACGTCTTCAAAGAAAAACAAGAAGGTCCAGTGTAAGGAGAG